CACAGCACTTGCCATCAGCAGTCCTCAGAGCACTTCACAACGTTCAGTATTGCAATCCCCATCTTAGAGAGTTGGAATCTGAGAAAAAATAATGTCAGGTAGCTTGCCTAAGATCACCCAGTAGACCTGTGCAAAGCCAGGTTCAGTCCAGTGCAGTATGCACTAGGCAAGACTGTCACAGAAGATTAACCTAAGCTACGCACCTTTTTAGGTTTGCCATGCGCTGTGGAAGGGTAAGATATGTAAAAACATGTATTTGAATGTAATCAACCAGAGCTCTGGCGGCACGTTAAGAGAACAGACACTTCTAATAAGCTTTGCTGGGGTTGCACAACATATTTCTGGTAGGGAGCTGTATGGGAGGCACCATGCGGTCTGCAGTAAGCTGGGCCTAAAGTCTGTGGTAGCTTCAGACAGATTGCAGAATTTATGTTTCCGATGAACCATCTTCTAAACAGACAACCCTTAGGACAATGGTTCCATGTTGTTTGTTTCTTTTTTTTCTTTTTTTTTTAATTAATGGCTTATTTTTCCTTGTTTCCACGTTTTCAGTTTTCATTCTCCAGCAGGCCTTTGTATTGGTAATGCAGAACCACTTTGCAGAAACTGGAAGTTTTGGTGGGTGACTGAGCACATGGGGAGATGTGGATAAGCACAACTTATAAATCTGTTATAATGATCACCAGTGAATGGGTAACAATCTTAGTATTTAGGCTTTGGTCAGCTACCTGGTGGAATGAAGTGGGGAAGTTCACATTTCACCACGCTATTGTTTCAGGCTCTCAGCTGTCTCAGGAAAACAATATTAAGTCAGTTATACGTGGCTCATGCTTTCAAGGCTTGCTTCATCTCCATGAAGGCTCTTTTGGAAATGACATCTTACATTATGGAGCACAGTTCTACCGCAAAGGAGGAATTCGGCAGAGGGGTCTAGATATGTGGGGCTTTGATCACTGGAACGATACCTAAGTTACAATGAAAGGAGGGGAGTCCAAGCTGAATTTGCAGGGTTGAAATCCCTCACCTAGACTTGCATCCAGGGCAAGTCAAGGGCTTCAGTTCCTTCCCTTAGGACAGCTATGGGAAATCAGTAACATCTAGAATGGTCAGAGAAATTCAACACCTGTCTTCTGTGTTTTCTTATCTCCTCAGATCTTCTATCTCCTGACAGATAATTCAGGTTCTCCTTTTTATTTTTTTTCCTTTAGAGGAATAGTATTGCAGCCGCAGAAATATTGACTCATGAATAGTTTCATAGATCTTCTGGTTCATAGATTTTAAAGCTGGAAGGGACTGTTCTGATCGTCTTGTCTGACCTCTTCCCCAGTGCAAAGCAGCAAGCTTCCCTCTGATGTTCTTTTTTGATGTCTGATGTTGCTGTGACTATTTCTGTTGCTGATGTACACATTTTTTAAATTTATTTTCAGAGTATTCAAGAGAGAGCAATATTACTCAGAAGAGAAATTGGCTTGACCTGTGGCAAAGCTGTCTTTCAGAGGTTTTAATGGTAAGTGCAGAACACCTAGCCCAAAAGAACTGGGCTAGTTCCAGTCTGGCTGATTTCCAGTAGGAAACACAATGTATATGAATGAGAGGGAATACATTAATTGTAGAAATGCCATTTCCAATGGGCCATGATAATAACCAGCAAGAAAAATAAAATGGAAAATTGCCTGGTGATGAGCTGTCTTGGGGCAGCTGTTTTGTGGCATCCATCACCAAAGGATCTGGGTGCCTCACAAATGTTAATGATTTATGCCATGCAGCCCTCTTTTGATGGTAGGTTGGATAATCTTGGTTTTGCAGAAAATTATTATGGAAAGTAAAGGGAGATTAACTGATTTGCCTGATGTTGCAAAATATGTCTGTGAAAGGGGCAAGATTTCAGCAGTCTTCCTGTTCTGACTCACTGCCTCTTCCTAGCAGCCTTCCTAACTTTTCTCTTCTCCCAGTCATGTCCTCTGAAAGACCATTTCTCTGTTGTCTGCAGTTTTCCTCTGCCTACACTGCTGAGTTTCAAAGGCCCCCTGCACTCCTTTACACCAGATGCAGTAGTGCTTCAAAAGAGTTTTCAGTAGAGTTGGCATGTGGTGGTGTGAAGGACGACAGAAATGCATAATCTCTGTCTCACTCCACCCTCATTAATTATTACATATAGACCCTCTCTGAATATATACTGTGTATAGCTTGCTGCCATTGGCAGTCACTGCTGGGTACATCTGAGATCCAAAGGTACCTGCAGGGCCGAAGAGGGAGGTGACATCCCTTGAGGAGGGGGTACAAGGTTGTGGTTTCTTCACCTCCCTGTTCTCACAGAAGATCCAGCTACACAGAGATCTTGCTATGAGGAAAGCAAGCTTTACTGATGGCTCAAACAATGCCAGGCCTTTTGATCAGCATACATTAAAATTACCATACCTCTTTTACATGTTCAACTCACTGTTAATTCATTAGCGTATTTAGCATTGCATTATAAGTAGACTTCCTCAACTTTACCCAACCTTGCTTGGCATCGTTACCATGTGGGTCTGGTTCTGGAGTCCTAATCTTATTTTATCTTCCATCCGCCAGCAGCTGTGGTATCGCCATCTCTGTGACTATTGTCCAGCTTGCTATGATCTGCCCCTTGCAATTGCCATCACTTCTTGGTTACACTGAATCCTCTGCTTCAGTGTCCCACCTGCTGCCGGGTATCATCTGCCACTGGTGGGAAAGGCAATATTGATGATGCAAGCTGCTGACTTTTGCTTATTATATATATATAAGAGTGGGAAGTAACTCATGGCTAAAAGGTGAAGGATTGTTGAATTCCACAAGCAGTCTCTAGAACAGCAATGTTTTCTACCAGAATCCCACTGAAAAGACATGAGATGGAAAACATGAAAAATGGGGGAAAGCTGGTGAGGAGATTAAGGACAAAAGGCTAGAGAAGTGAAAACAAAATGGAGAATAAGAGAGGGATTTCTGAAACCGGAGAGGTAAAAAAAAGGAGGGATACATCTGAAGAAAGAGAGGGACAGAAGAGAGGGGGAAGGAGGGAGGGAAGAGAAGTGAAAATGTGGGAGGAGGGTTTCTAAAAATTAAAAGCCTCAAAGAAATAACAGGAAAAACCAACTGGTAACAATATCACTGCAGGCTTTGTACCTCAAAAGATATTTCTATGTTAGGAATTAGTAAGACAAAAGAAAAAAGACAGCAAGAGGTAAAAGTTCAAAAAGGGAATGCGTTTGGTCGGACTCTGATTTCTGTTACATTGGTGTCATTGAGATTGAAACCTGGACAGTGTTTGGGTGGAGTTTGAGAGGTAGAGTGACATCACAGAGCAGATTCATCTGATATTTCTTTTTGTCTTTGCTCCTAAATATGATTTGGGGAAAGGAGTAAATGATTTTCTATCAATGACTCAGATATTCTTAGTCAGATTAAAAATGTAAGACTTTGATATCATTTTTGACATGTCCATTGTCAGCGCAGTGCACTGATACTTGCATATAGAAGATGCAGTTACAACAGTAGCTATTAAATATTGGAGTGTGTGTGGGTATAAACCCACACACACTTTTAAAAGCAAATATTAGTGTATTTCAAGGACGTTCTAGACTTTCTGTCTTGGTGCAACAGTGCTGAAAGCAACTTCTGAATCAGTCGATTCGCAAGATGTAAACAGCAGCAAGCGATTTCCAGTGCAGGCCACTGAAGATGTCCCATATTTCAGCCTTACATTGACTGGGATTAGCTGAAATTGTTCTCCCTGAAGCATTCAGGGACAGGTGTAAAGGAAGAACCATGGGCAGTACTTCCTGGTATCATTACCTTGCACTGACAGATTGGAGAGAGCCGCAAGGAGAGCAGCAAGAATGATAAGAGGTTTGAAAGATGCAGCCTAAAGAAAAACAGGGCTGGAGGTCATGTAGTCCAACCCACTGCCTAAAGCAGGATCATCCCTGTTTAAACCATCCCAGGCAAGTGTTTGTCTAATGCAGTGGCTTTTGGTTGTAGCCGTGTTGGTCTAAGGACAACTGATTCAGTAGTTCTCAACTTTCTAGACTCAAGACACCCCTGGGTAGACTTACGGGACCCTTTTTTTGCCTACAGAAAAACAACAGAGCTGTTTTGCTGTTGCAAAGAACTCAGGAAGATCATTTGAAATCTCTGGGTTTCTTGTGAGAGTCATGATTGCTCACCTAACATGGTGCAGTGTCCTGTGGTGCTGTGGAAGGGGTCTCAAGGCACCCCAGGCTGTGGCACCCTGGTGGAGAGTCACTGGTCACTGGTACCCCCCACTCAAAAACTGCCAGCGATGAATAATACCAGATTCGGGACAGCGCCCTGGGTCTGTCGAGGAAGGTCTTGGGTCTTGATCCTTCCTCAGAGCAAGGGGGTACGTTAGATCGGTAGTTCCCAAACTCTGGCTGACCAGCAGATCACCGCCCACCCTCACCGTTGCTTGTGATCACACCATGCGTCCTCACCTTGTCACTGGACATGGGCAGCAGTGGGGATCCACATGGTGACTGGGATCAGTGGGATGACCAGGTTTGGTGTGATGACTGGGAATGGTGGGACAACTGGGGTTGGTGTGATGACCAGGACCAGTGTGATGAATGGGACGCCTGGGATTACTGTGATGCCTGGGATCAGCGGGATGACCAGGTTTAGCAGGATGACTGGGGTTGGTGCGAAGACTGGGATGGGTGCGATGACTGGCGACTGGCGGCACTGGGGTGACTGGGATGGGTGTGATGAGCTGGGGTCAGCGTGATGAGCGGGATGCCCGGGATTATTGGGATGCCTGGGATCACGGGGACGACTGGGACGGGTGGGATGGGAGGCCGCAGAGGGCTGTGTGGGTGCGAGGAACCCCTCGCCCGCCTGGCCGCCCGCGCGGGGGGGTGGGGGCGGGGCCAGCGCTGTGTCCCGGCCAATGGCG